ATGGCTATCATCAATAAATCAACAAACAAGTGCTGGTAAGGATGTGTAGAAAGGGGAACTCTTTTGCATTGTTGGTGGGAATGAAGACTGGTGCAGCAACTGTGGAAAGCGGTATGGAGATACCTGAAAAAATTAAAAATGGATCTTCCTTTTGACACAGCCATCCCACTTCTGGCTATATATCTGAAGGAACCCAAGACAAAAGAACATACGCACCCCTATGTTCATTGCAGTTATTTACAATCACCAAAATGTGGCAACAGCCGAGTTGTCCATCAACAGATAAAACAACGAACTATGGGACGTTTACACAACTGAATTCTACTTGGCCATAAAAAAAGAAGAAAATTTTACCCTTTGCAACAGTATGGATGGAACTGGAGAACATTATGCTAAGTGAAGTAAGCACAGTCAGAAAGACAAATACTATGTGATTTCACTCATATGTGGAATCTAATTAACAAGCAGAACTAACAAGCAAAACAGAGACTCATAGTTAGAGAGCAGATAACAGGTAGTGGCAGGGGTAGGTTAGAAGGTGGAGGGTTTGAGTAAAAAGGGAAAAGGACTCATGGACATGGGCAACAGTGTGGTGATTGCTGTGGACAGGAGGGTATAAGGGTACTAAATGGTAATGGAAAAAATACAGTAAAGATTAAATTTAAAAATAAAATTTAAAAAAGATTTTACTTTAACCTTATTTTTGATAATGTTTATTATAGATATGAAGCTGTATAGATTTTCTTTCTTACTATGTCACTTTTGGTTATTTTTTTCCAAAGAATTCATCCAGTTTATTTAAGTTGTCATATTAATTGGCTAAGGTTATTCATGACATTCCTTTATTGTTCTTTTAATGTTTGTGAGATCTGAGTGATACCTATCTGCATATTTAATGGTTACTTTCTATACTCTATTTTATTCTTGTTTCGCCTAACTTAAGGTTACTAATTTTGTTGATCTTTTCAAAGAACCAGATTTTAGGTTTAGTTTTCTTTATTGTTTGGTATTTTATTGATTCCCTCAGTTACCTTCATTATTTTCCTTCTGCTTACTTTGGATGTTTATCACTCTGCATTTTCTAGTTTGTTAGATAGAACCTTGGGTCATTAATTTCATACCTACCTTCTTATTCTCTAAATTTATATTCAAGGATTGCTTTGTCTGCATCCCACAAATTTTTATGTCTTATATTTTTATTTTCATGTATTCAAAGTATATCCTAATTTTTATTGTTTATTTTTGATCCTTGGGTTATTTACAAGTATACATTTGATTTGTAAATATTTACCTATTTTTCCTAGATGTATCTTCATTAGTGTATAATTCCATAGTACCTAGTACCTAGTCTATAAGATTTCATTATTTTGAAGAGCTTATTGACAGTTTTTAATGGCCCATTTTATTGAACATACTGTGTGCATTTCAAAAGAATTTGTAGTCTATACTTGGATATACTCTATAAATATCACTAGCAGGTCAAGGTGATTGATAATGCTCAGTTTTTCTTTTTTTCTTTTTTTTTCTTGTTAATTGCTGGGAGGAAAGTTAAAATCCCCTACCATGATCATGGGTTTGTTTGTATATACTTTAATTCTAACAATTTTACCTTCATATATTTTGAGGCTGTTATTAGAATCATAAACCTTTATAATTGTTATATCTTCCCAATGAACGGACCCGTTCATCATTTTGAAATGTCTATTTCTGAAATCTATTTTATCTGCTATTAAGATAGCTACACCTGTATTCTTATGCTTACTAACTGCACGATATGTGTTTTCTGAACTTTCAAGCTGTCTGTGTCTTTATATGTATTTACAGTATACCCCTTGTAGACAACTCTTATCTATTCCTGACAATATGACATTTAATTGGTGTGTTTAGTGCATTTATATTTAATATAATTCCTGTTTTGTTTGGATTTGGATATACAATTTTATTATTTGTCTTCTGTTTGAACAGACTGTTTACTGTTTTGCTATTCCTTCTTTCCTGCCTTTTTTGTGTTAATAGATTTTTTTAGAATTCCATTTTTATTCTTTTATTGACTTTTTAACTATTGTTCCTTGCATATTTTTTTGGTGGTTGCTTGAGTACTGAAAATATACATTATCAAATTTTCACAGTGCACTAAAAGTTAATGTACCACATTATGTAAAGTGTAGATATCTTGTAATAAAGTAAGTCACCTTATTCATATTTTAAGGAAAGTAAGAGTTAAGAAAGTTAAGTATAATACCCATGCTACCTATCTAATACCTATATCTAAATTTTGAAGGTGAAAGCAAACTTCATTTCCAGAACCAACCAAACTTGGATTTTGTGTATATGCCTTTTTAAAAATATATTTCTGTATTCCATTTCCTGATATTTTAAGAGTTTTGCTTCTATGTAAGAGAAATTGACCTGTAAATTTCTTGTATTATAATATTCTTGTCAGATTTTTTTTACATACTTACGTTGAACTTATAAAACAAGTTGAGAACATTTCTTTCTTTCTCTAAACTTTGGAAGAGTTTATTTAAGATAGGCATTGGGTAGCCTTGGTTGGTGAAGCCACCTGACCCTGAGTTTTCTTTGTGGAAGGATTATGTTCAAAAGCAGGACTGCATTTGAACATTAAGAAGACAAAAATGAAGTACAGAGCTTTAACATAGGCAATGCAGACATGGAAATTGTTAAATATTTTGTTTACCTTGGTTCAGTCATCAATTTAAGTGGGACTGCAACCAAGAAATCCAGAGAAGGCTGAGACTCAGGAAGGCAACAATGAAAGACTTAGGAAAGATCACCGAGAGCAAAGATGGTCATTAAAGACCAAGACTAAGATCATCCACATCCTCGTACTATGTATGGATATGAAATTTGGACAGTGAAGAAGGCTGATAGGAAAAAAGTTGATTCATTTGAAATGTATTGTTCTAGATCTCTAGAGATACCCTGGACTGCCAGAAAGACAAGCAAGTCGTAGAGCAAATTAAGCCTGAAACTTTACTGGAGGCAAAAATGACAAAACTGAAGTGGTACTATTTCAGGCACATCATGAGAAGGCAGGGTTCTTTGGAAAAGACAATAATGCTGGGGAAAATAGAAGGCATTAGAAAAGAGGAAAACTAAATATGAGATGGATTGACTCCATAAGAAAGCTGAAGACATGAGTCTGCAGGAGCTGAGCAGGGCTGTTGAGGACAGGACATTGTGCACATCACTGATTCACAGAGTCACCTGGAGTCAGAGATGACTCAACAGTAGCATATAATACACAAACTTTAAATGAAACTGTTTTGCAGCAGCATGCAGTGTTCTATCAGTTGTTCATTAGGTCAAGTTTGCTAACTCTGTTATTCAAACAGTCTATATCTTTACTGATTTTGTTCTTAACTGACTTATTTCAAAGTCTACCATTGTTCTAGTATATTTGTTTACTTTTAGTTCTTGCATTCTTCTAGTGATTACACCAGAGATTACAACAGATATTCTTGATTTGTCAAAATTTTATATAAATTAGTACTTTTATTTTCTCCTGGACAGCATAGGAACCTGCAAATATTAATAACTGCACATGTGCCTTTTCTAACTCACATATGTTTATTGTCATATCTTTTAATTCTGTTTTTTAATTCCAACAACATATATTCATTATTTTTGCTGCCTTTAATTTTTCCCTGCATGACTTGGTGTCTACACAGGATCATTTTCTTTGTGCCTGAAAACATTCTTTAGTTATTTTCTTTAGTGTGGCTCTTTTTGGTGATGAATTTTCTGTTTTGTTTGTCTGAAAGTATCTTTGTCTTCATGCTTGAATGATAATTTCACTGGTTATAAAACTAGATTGCTTTTACTTTCTTCAGCACTTTGAAAGTATTATTCTATTGTATAGTGTCTTCCATTGTTTTTGCTGCAAGGTCAGTTATTTGTCAAATTGTTGCTCTTTTTGTAGGTCATCTGTTGTTTTTTTTCCTCTGGCTGCTTTTAAGACTTATTTTTAATGTCTCATGTTTTGAGCAGTTTTTAATTAAATACCTACTTGTGGATTTTTTTATTTTTATTTATATTTTTGGCTTGATGTCCATAGTGGATCTGCATTATATGGCTTGATTTTTTTTTCAGTTTTTAAAAGTTATCAACCTTTATCTTTTTAAATACTACTCCTCACCATTCTTTATCTTCTATCACTTGGGATTGAAATTATAGGTATCCACACTCACACTAAAAATAATTCTTTTCCTATAGCTTTGCTAATTCTCTCACTTTTCTTTAGATTTTAATGTTTGTGTAATTTACTTTTTAAAGAAAATCAATTCTTTTTCCCCATATGGAGATCTCATACTTTTACCCTTGAATCTTTAAAACAACCCTGCCAATATTATTATTGCTGTTTTCACATATTTTTAGTTATACAAAGAAGTTAAGAAACTGGCCCAAGTTCACATAGCTGCCAAGTAACTAAAGTCCAATTGATTAACTATTTCTTGTTCTTCATTATATAAAGTTATATTTCCTTTTTTCTATATCTGACTTTCTCACTTGATTTTTGGAATGGAATATATATTGATGAATGATCTTAGTTTATCTTAAAATAACATTGTATCATTTCACCTATATTTACTAGGTAAACAAGTACACAAATTTATGAGTTAAACGTTCTCCCCTGAAGGAATTTCTTTTTTTAACAGGGAAAAAAGAATATATACAGTTTATTCTAATAAAGAATATGAACAATTAGTTTCCATGGATCAAAACAAATTAGAAGATAATGTCCTAACTGATGAGATCAAGAAATAATTCATTGAGTAGGCAGAACTTATGAAAGAGATGGCAATGTGAGAATATTTTTTTACTGCATTCAAGAATAACATGTATATTATACATTTATTTGTTAATGTGAATAAAGAAAGCCAATACTAGGGTTTGTCACTAATTAGGTAGTCAGTCATATAAGCAGTAAAATATTGTCCATCATGTTAAATATTGATTCAAAAAGGTTTTTTTTCCAGGTTATTTCATTTTTGGCTGCAGTTTTGCATAAAAAGGGAACCCGTGAGGATATTGAAAACAACATGCCAGAGTTTTTACTAAGAAGTCTGAAAAAGGAACCTCCTTCTTCAATAGCAAAAAAGGTAAGACAGCTAGGATCATATGTGTACAGCTCATGAAGCTTCTATTGCAAAAACAGAAAATTTTAAATATCACACATTATAGTATAAATTTCAAACATAAGAATTTAAAAACTTTATTAAAATATTTGTTCCAAATCTAATTTTTGAAGGATTGCCAATTGTATCCTCAAATTAAATATTATTGATTCTCAGAATGGCAAAATATAATTTTAGCTTGAACTTATTTTAGGGTTTCCATCTTTTGCTTAGCTAGATTTATATGATTTAGTTTGATTAATCTGTTAAATATCTGTGAATGTGCATATAAAGTTATATATGCACATATAATTGAACTTCATTATACTTTTTTTATTTATGTGAGAATGGAAAGGAGACAGTTGTTGATATCAATAGCAAAGGTACAATGGTGACATTTAAAGTTGCTTAAAAAACCACATCTCTAAATATGAAACAAATTTTTTTTATGCAAGGAACATTGAAGTTGGAATCAGAAAGACTAAGGTCTAGGCTTTTCTCAGTCTCTCTGCCTATGGGATAATGAATACTATTCACGTCCATATGTCAGCTTTCTCCTTTGGCAACCTGTGTTTCTAAATATCTTACATATGATTTTTATAAAAAAAATAAGATCTTTCTAACAAAGTAATGAAATGAAAAAAAGTATACTATATTTATGTGTCTTGCTTTTATATTCCTCAGCATCCAGGAAGCTGGATAGAAATGAAGAAAGTGATTTTATGAAGTTATGGTTATATTATGTCTGTGAACCACTTTCTACAAGTTTTAAAAGAGGCTCTCATCCTGGCTGGTGTGGCTCAGTGGACTGAGAGCTGGCCTGCAAACCAAAGGGTTGTTGGTTTGATTCCCAGTCAGGGCACATGCCGGGGTTGTGGGCCAGGTCCCCAGTTGGGGGAGCTCAAGAGGCAACCACACATTGATGTTTCTGTCCCTCTCTTTCCCCCTTCCTTACATTCTCTCTAAAAATAAATAAATAAGATAAAATAAAAAAGAAAAAGAGGCTCTCATATATAAGGTTAAGTCCAGGTTTACTCTTGTGTGTTACTAAAGGATTTTCAGTGCAAAATTTTGAGAGATATTGGCTTACAGCAGGAGTGTCAAACCTTGAGTTGTCTTGGGCCACACATTAAATACACTGTGATTTGTAATCACAAAAAAATCTCATAATGTTTTAAGTTTAAAATTTTGTGTTCAGCTGCATTCATAGCCATCTTAGCCTGTAGGCAGCCCACAAGCCTCAGGTTGGGACACTGCTGGAAGGTATTATAATTATTATTATTTTAAATTCTCTTTATTATATTTACTAACATGAATGGATCCTGAATGTCAAATTAAATTTGATCCTAAAAAACATTATGACTTAATGTGTTTTAAATCTCTAAGAGTCTAAGTGCCGTTTTTAGCCATGGATTCAGTTGTTTTGCTTCTAAATGTCAGTGTGGAACGTACATATGTCTTGTATATCACTTGTGATAATTAGCAGAGGGGAGAGAAAAATAGGGAATGTAATACTTTAAATATTTAAAAATTTAAAAAAATTTTTAGGAAGAGCAGGAATGGGAAAAGAGAATTAAAGAGATTCATTTGATGGTATGATGAAATATAATAGTAGCTACCTTAATTAACATTAATTCGCTCATTCTCTCATCTATTGAGATGATCATCTACTGAGATGCCTCTCTCCCCTTCCTTCCCGCCCCCTCTCTGTGTATGTATGTGTATATATACATACATAATATATGTATATACACACATATATACTATATATATGTAATTCCTTGCTATAATATGCATTGCTGTTTTTTCTACCTCCTTTAGTTAAATTCTTAATTCATTTACTGTATTTTTTATCTTTTCTTGTATTTTAATAAATTCCATTAAGGCTATAATGTTACTTTGAGTACTTATTTTGGCTTCATTCCATAGTTTTAGAGATGTAGTCTTTTCATTATTCTCTTCTAAATTACCTCTGATTTTAGTTTTTGTTCTCTTTTACCTAAGTACTGTTAAAAAGGAAGTTTTAAAAATTTCTGGTGAATACATACTATTAGGTGGGCAACTGCCGGGACAGCTTACTTAGCCTTTGTTGTCGATTGCTTGTTTTGTTGCATCAGATGAGGATCCATTGCTGGCCTGACTTTTTTCCCTTGGAAAGGAATTTTCTTTTGGTTTGAAAGTGTGTAAGACTTTTTCTTTATTTATGAGATTTAGAACTCTTCTCAGCCCCAACACTCACTGTAGAATTCTTTAAAAAAAAAAAGTTCTCCTGCTTTAGAAAACTATACGCAGTACTTTGTATGGGGGAAGTGGGGTACTGCTGCCAGAACCAGTTTCTCTAAAGGAAATGACTGGTATAATTATTCTCCCTTTAATTAATAACTGCCATTTCTTTTGTTTTCTTAATTTCTTTTCCCAGTAGTTCATTGCTATTATATAGAAACAGCTATGTCAATTTTTGTATATTGATTTTGTATCCTGCAACTGTATTGAATTTATTAGTTCTTATAGATCTTGGTGGACTTTTAAGAGTTTTCTATATATAATATTGTGTCATCTACAAACAGAGACCATTTTACTTATTACTTTTCAATTTGGATGCCTTTATTTCTTTTTCTTAACTAATTGTCTTAGATAAGAGTTCTAGTTCTATGTTTAATAAAAGTCATCAAAGAGGGCATCTTCGCCCTGGCTGGCATAGCTCAGTGGATTGAGCGCGGGCTGGGAACCAAAGTGTCCCAGGTTCGATTCCCAGCTAGGGTACATTCCTGGGTTGCAGGCCATAACCCCCAGCAACCGCACATTGATGTTTCTCTCTCTCTCTCTCTATCTCCCTCCCTTCCCTCTCTAAAAATAAATAAAATTAAAAAAATCACAGAAAGATTCAGAATGTATTAAAAAAAAAAAGAGGGCATCTTCGTCTTGTCACTGCTCTTAGAAGAAAATTTTTTAGCTTTTCACCATTAACTGTGATGTTAGCCACGGATTTATCACATATAGCCTTAATATTGAACTACATTTCTTCCATACCCTACTTGTTGAGAGGTTTTTTAAAATCATTAAAGGACGTTCAATTTTGTCAGATGCTTTTTTTGCACTATATGCTCATTCTCTCATCTACTGAGATGACCATACAATTTTTACCCTTCATTGTGTTAGTATGATGTGCCACATTTGTTGGTTTGCATAAGTTGAATAATCGTTGCACCCCAGGAATAAATTCCATATTTTCATGGTGTATGATCCTTTTACTGTACTGTTGAATTTCATTTGTTAATATTTTATTGCAAATTTTTACATCTGTGTTTGTCAGAGATGTTGGCCTGTACATTTCTTTTCTTGTAATATCCTTGTGTGGTTTTGGTATGCTAGCCTCATAAAATGAATTTGGAAGTGTTCCTTCCTCTTTTATTTTTTAGAAGAGTTTGAGAAGAATTGGTATTCTTCTTTAAATGTTTGATAGAATTCTCTAGTGAAGCCATTTGGTCCTGGATTTTTCTTTTTTGGGAGATTTTGGTTCCTGATTCAATCTCTTTACTAGTAATTAGTCTATTCAGAGTTTATACTTTTTCATGATTCAGTCTTTTTTAAAAAATATATTTTATTGATTATGCAATTAGAGTTGTCCCATTTTCCCCTCTTCACTCTGCACACCCCCTACTTCCCACATTCCCCCCCTTTAGTTCATGTGTCATACTTATAAGTTCTTTAGCTTCTACTTTTCCTGTACTATTCTTACCCTCCCCCTATTTTCTGTCTACCACCTATGCTACTTATTCTCTGTAGGTTGCATGTTTCTAACTATTTATTAATTTCTTCCAGGTTATCTAATTTTTGTCATATATTGTTCATAATAGTTTATAATGATCCTTGGTGTTTGTGTTGTCAGTCATAATGTCTTCTCTTTCATTTCTAGTTTTATTTATTTCAGTTACCTTTCTTTTCTCTTAGTCTAGCTAAAGGTTTGTTCATTTTCTTTATCTTTGTAAAAAACTAGCTCTTAGTTTCAGTGATCCTTTCCATTGTCTTTCTAGTCTCTATTTCATTTATTTCCCACTCTGACTTTTATTATTTCCTTTCTTCTACTAACTTTGAGTTTAATTTGTTCCTCATTTTCTAGTTTATTAAGTTTTAAAGTTAGGTTCTTTTTTTATTTGAAATCTTTTTTTTTTTCCTTAAGGTCAGCCTTTATCTGTATGACCCTCTGTGTTAGAACTGCTTTTGCTGCACCCCCTAAGTTTTGGTGTGTTGTATTTCTATTTTCATTTGTTTCAAGATTCTTAAATTTTTTTCTTTTGACCTGTCAGTTGTTCAGGAGCAAATTGTTTAATTTCCACATACTTGTGAATTTTTCAGTTTTTCTCTTCTAATTGATTTCTAGTTTCATATGATGTGATTGGAAAACATACCAGATGTTTGATATGATTTCAGTCTTCTTAAATTTTCTGACTTGTTTTGTGGACTGACATATTATGTATCCTGGAGATTTTTTTTGTGTGCTTGAGAAGAAGGAGTATTCTGCGGCTGTTGGATAAGTATTCTGTGTATGTCTCTTAGACCTGTGTTCTAATGTGTAGCTTCAGTTCATTGTTTCCTGATTGATTTTCTGTCAGCCAATTTGTCCATTGTTGAAAGTGAGGTATTGAATTCCCTTACTATTATTGTACTGCTGTTGTATTCTCTCTTCAATCTATTATGATTTGTTTTATGTATTTAGATGTTTTGATGTTGAGTGCATAAATATTTAAAATTGCTATAACTTCTTGGCAATATAATTATCTAATACCTTTGTCTCTTGATACAAAGTCTTTGGTTTAAAGTCTATATTGTCTGATATAAATAAAACTAACCCTGCTTATTTTGATTTCCATTTGCATGGAATATCTTTTTCTAGTACTTCACTTTCAATCTATGTGTCCTTAAAGCTGAAGTCAGTCTCAGATAGACAACATATCCTTGGGTCTTGGTATTTTTTTACTTTAAAT